TTGCTGGTAAGGCTCGTGAATTAAATCATTAGAGCGGCTTTGCATCCTGCCTGGTAGTTGATTTATGTCTCAGCTACATACCGAGTTAAAATCAGGGCATTAACAGATTAAGCAACCTCATATCCCAGAAGAATTTCATTTGCCTTAAACACGAGCCTCAGGAATTCAACTGCTGCGATCCTGACAAATTCCTGTGACTCCTTTTGCTTATTCAGCTGGTTGTGTTAGAGGAGAAACCCGGACTTGTGGAAGTGCCCTTTTAAGAAAAGGGTTTTGTTCGCATGCTTTACAGAGTGCTGGTTAAAGAGGAAATATGACTTAAATTGACATTTTAAATGGAATATTTAAAGGAGATTTACAGTAAATGTTCATTCCTCCTGTGATTAAAGGCGTTACCTAACTATTTAAAGTAGACAGAAGATTTTATCATGTCTCCCTGTATGATGTGATAAATAATAGAAACACAAGTGCTTTTACTTCTCGGTTTCACTGCAGAATTGGTAAATAGGACTGAATCTGCCAGTTAATCTTCTCTGGTGCAGGAAACATACCTCCGAGATCTTTTTGCTCCATATTGACATGATAGCATCACACAGTTGCTGCACATTCATGATGTGAATCACCCATTTAACCACATGCCAAAGGTGCTGTGGAGGCCATCCGAGTACAGTGAACTCATTGGCATGTTCAAGGAACCAGTGTGAGATGATCTGAGCTTTGTGACATGTTATCCAGCTGGATGGGTACACTGTGGTCATAAAGGGATGGTCATGGTCAGCAGGCTGGTAGGCTGTAGCATTTAAATGGTGCTCAGTGGTTCTAAGGAGTCCAAGATATGCCAAGAAAATAGCCACCAGCAGCAGCAGCTTGAACCATACAAGACACGATGGAGCCATCTTTTCATGTTGGTTACCCCAAAGTCTGACCCTACCATCTGAAAGTCACAGCAGAAATCGAAAGACCAGCCGACGTTTTTCAGTCTTCTGTCGTGTGAATTGTAGCCTCAGTTCCTGTTTTTAGCTGACAGGAGGAGCACCTGGTGTGGTCTTCTGCTGCTGTAGCACGTCTGCTTCGAGGTTTGATGTGCTATGCATTCAGAAGTCTGCCCATTCCCCTCTGACCTCTAAACTCAGAACTGCCGCCCACTGGACATTTTCTCTTTTTTTCTTTGGAAACCCTAGAGATGGTTGTGTGGGAAAATCCCAGTAGCTCAGTAGTTTTAGAAATACTCAGACTGGCCTTTCTGACACTACAACCGTGCCACATTCAAACTTACATCCTCTTTCTTCCTGATTCTGATGCCCAGCTTGTCTTGACCATGTCTACATGCCAGTTGCTGTCATGTGACTGGCTGATTAGATATTCTTTGGCAGTTCATCAAACTGTCCATTAAAGAGCTCACAACGTACAGTGATACACTTCTAACATCGTGCTACTCTTTCCTCCACAGAAAATGCTGACCTTTGACCCCTTGAAACGAATATCAGCCTTAAACGCACTAGAACATGAATATTTTCGGGACGAGGCGACGTCGACTCAGACAAAAAGCTGAAGTCGTCCAGGGAAGCGCGCAGCAAGAGGTAACAGTGTCGGAAGTTTCGACGTATCAGTGTCATTCACCGCTCTGCCTTTCACGATGTCTGCTTCGGAATATTATTTTGTTATTCCCGCATCACAAAAAAAAAGGTAAAAGGCTGAGAAAGAGGAATGAAATGAGGATCGCTGCTATGGTTCTCAATGTGTAAATGTAACGAGTAATAACGTGTCACGTCTTAAAGGACAGTACCAGTGTTTTTTCACGTATCAGTATCGTCAGCTGGCACTCATAAACACAAAAGTCGTGTCATCGCCGACAAAATGTTCCTCCTGCGACATTTCTGGACGTGTCAGATTAGAAAAGCCATTAGATAGTGAGTTTACTGTAGCTGTATTAATATAATACAATAGGAACAATAACATTGTAAGACTGTGACAGGCATTGAGCTGTATGTAAATGATTTAAGCTAGCTGTGTTAAATTTGTGAGGAAAAGGAACAAGTAGAAGTGGATAAGCACACAAGAACGACACACCTTGTAAAAATACTGGTATTGCCCTTGAATTAGCTCAAGAAACAAAAGTATTTTTCTATGTGCTGAAAGACTGAATGGGTGTAGTTCATTTCATGTTTAACATTTGTCTTCTGTTGCTGCAACCATCTGAAATCAGTCATCACTGCAAATATAAATAAATGTTTCAACCACACTGAGGCTTAATTGTGTTTTATTACACAGATTGGGGGTCTGTGGAATGAATGAAACCGAAAAATGGACTGAAATGTGTTTCTTGAATGAACATGAGGTATAAAATTGTGAATCGTGCCATCGTTAGCATATTCAATTAGACGGTACTGTGAAAGCCCCCCCTCACTTCTTTATTTTTGTTAGGTAAATGGGACTGATTCAGTGCAACAAGTGCGAGTATTTAAGGCAAAACAGAGTTCGTAATATTTAATATTTTGTATGACCACCTTTAATCATCAACACAGCCTGAACTCTCTTAGGCAAGCTTCGTCATCATTGCTATAAGTAGTGTCTTGGGAATAGTTCTCTGGACTTCTTGAGGGGCATTCAATGATCTTCTTTGGATGTTTTCTGCTTTTTATTCTGTTTTTGGTCAAGATGATCTCTCGCTGCTTGAATAATTTTGAGGTTTGGGCTCTGGTGAAGCAGATCCGTCACTGATAGTGTTTTGCTGTGTTTTTTCTATTTAGGTATGCTTCAAAAATAAAGTTACTGGGTGAAGGTTTCCAGTATTACATGGTAGATAAATTCATAATCACTCATAATTCCATCAGTTTTGACACAAACTCCAACACACTGGCTGAAACCATCACAGAGCCTCCACTGTGTTTTACACATGGCTGCTGTACCTCTCTCCTCACCTCCTCCATACCTGTTGATGACAATTTGAACCAAAGATGTCTCAGATCCATCACGCCATCAGACCTGTTGCCACTGATTTTTAGTCGAGTCCTTGTGTATTTTGGCATTTTTCTGCCTCCTTCACTTTCTTAAGGATGCCTTAATAATCCCACCTTTCCACTGAGACCATTGAAGCTTTAGAGAACAGTAGATGGATCAACTGAAGAGGATTTGGGTTTTTCAGATACTGTTTTTTCTTTTTTTTTTATGCCTGCCACTTCTTCATTTGTTCTGCACGTGTTCAGTTTCTTCAGATTTTTTAAGGAGACGCTGCACAGCATGCCGAGATGTGCCATGTTTTCTACTTTGGGAGTAAACTTACATGAGAAAAAATGTGATTTTTATGCCTGTCAAACTGTGCTGTTTGTGACATTTTTGTAGTTATATCTAAAGAAATTTGGGGAAAAAATACTTTTTTATATTTTTCTTTTATTTGAATGAAGTTTTATTTGTCTCATGTAGACATTACATTAGTGCATCCATTGAGTTAGGCGCATTTTTAATGCTTGAATGACTCATAGGTCAGTGTGAAGTAGTTTAACAAATAAACAGTAAAGAAAACTTTGAAAGACCTTCAGAAAGCACAGATTGCTCAAAAGCATTTTAAACTTTGCAAGAAAGTCCAGCTGCTTGGATGTGAACTATAAAGAAATGAGAGTTGGCTGAAAGACTTTTTCACAGTACTATACAGTAGCAATAGGCACTAGTAAGAAATGCGTTTATAGAGTGTTTTAGACTGTTAAAAGCAATATTTAAATCCCCAGGTCTATCTTGATTTGGTTAGATGAATACATTTACATTAACAGTTAACTTTGTGCTTTTGCAGCATTCCCATTGTTAGCAAAAAGCTCTAAATGTTATCAAGGCTGAAAAATGTGAATTAAGTAAAGACATATGAATGTAATGTTTTGGCAGGTAAGCACAAAACCACATATTAAACACTGTTCTGCTTTTTAAACGTGGGTTTTAACTTTCCATGATTTCCACCTAAATGGCAACCACCTGTGGCTACAAAGAAAACACTCAAAAAACCTGAAAATTAAACAGGCATTTGAAAATAGCGCCATTATTAGCACAACTGAAATATCTGACACATACTGTATATGAGTAATAGCCATTTTTGACTTTTACGTATTAGTTAAGTATGGAAACGAATAGATATCATTCCAGATATGTGCAGAAAGCAAAGTGAACGGTTAACAAGTAAATTATAAAGTACATATCAAAAAATGAGCAACAAAAATGCCAGCAAAGATTTAAGTCGATGAGATAAGATAGGATGAGATGAGATGAGAGCCTTTATTAGTCCCAGAGTTAGCTTCAATGTGTGTGATTGTACTGCTGTTGAAAGAAACTCTACTTTTCATTATTAACTGATTATGATGCTACTATTATAATTTCAGCAGCCTTAATAAATCACAATATGTTTAGTAAATATCTTAAAACCACAAAGGCTTTAACATAACATACGGATGCCCATAGGTTTTACGGCTCGATCTTCTGTTTTTAATCGAGACAACAACAACTGTGACTCTGAGGTTTAAATGTAAGTGTGAGAAGAAAGCCGTTTGCTTGATCCCTGAGTCATGTTGTTGATGCTGACAGGTTCATGATTAAGAGACAAGACAAAATAGGACCTTCTACCTGAAGGTTGTGCATTGCGTTACTTCTAAAGTATGTTTTTGTCCTTCCGCATCTTGTATCTTCTCTGATGTCTTCCACCTAACTTATCATCAATATTTGGAGTTTTCCCTCCATTTCTCCTGCTGTTACTGTAGATAGCTTCCCTCCCTCAAAAACCTATCTTCTGTTTAACATTTTCTATATCTTTCTAATTTTTTTCCCCTGTAGAAACGATCCATCCTGTACATCCTTACTTTCTCACTCAAAGAGGACATGCAGTGAGGCAGAGAGAGAAAGCAGGAGCTGCTCACAAGGAGAGCGGAGAGAAAGAGCTAGAGACAGAGCAGATGCATTGGCAGGAGTAGAGCTGAGGCTTTTTTTCCCCTCCTTCCTGTCTCTCTTTGTGTGTGTGTGTGTGTGTGTGTGTGTGTGTGTCGGCACAGATAAAAAGAAAATGTGATGAAGGTGGGCAAGGACCACCACCGCCTCACAGCAAGCTGCTCATTCCCCAGCCTGATTGCCCGAGCCGTATCCAGCGTGGATGTGGTTGTGCGGCAGGCTAACGGCGCGTAAGCAGGGGGACTCCATGGCTCTGTGGCAGTGAGAAGAGGAGGAAAGAAGGAGGAAAAAAAGGAGGAGGGGCTGTGGTGAGCTGGTGGGCTTCCTCTGCCTCACAGACACATTTTATTGACTTGCTAATTGGATGAGGCACTCGGAGGAGAGGATGCAGTGACCGAGAGGAGCTGCTCTCCAGAGGAGGCATACATGCAGAAGAAAGCATTGCTTGGGTTGTGGAAATCGGGCTACTTTATCCCTCTTTCTTTTTTTCTTTTTTTTTTTTTTTTTTTTTTAGCTTTTCTCGAGACATAACAACAGATGTTTTTTCAGCATCTCTCAGTGACCCTCGCACTGTGCATACATAATTTTATGCATGACATTGTCGATCGGAGGCTCCAGCTGCCAGACGCTTCGTGACAAGTGAATGATTTCCATTTTGTTGTTCCCCTTTCACCTGTTTTCATCTTCAGTTGGAGCTCTTTTCTGTCAGCCTTGTTTGATGTGCCATTTGATATGAATGGTAATCCGGCGGCAGGATGATTTCTTCGTCAGATCAAATGTGCACGAAGCCGTGAATGGATACTCTTCAGTGGGGAGAGAAAAAAAAGAAGGTATGATATGAGCAAAAGCCGAGACAAATATTGTAGTAGGGTGGCATTATACAGCTAGTATTAATATTAGCCCTATTCAAGAAATGGATCAGTCATGAATGTATAGACTGTTGCATAATTCCAGGCTGAAATCTGAGGCAGGGACACCTACTCTGTGGAAAGATATACCTTATTTAGATCCATCCATGTGTCTCTGTGTCAGATTTGCTCTGAATAAATGAATTTAAGAAGGAAAGCAAGGCAGAGAGGGAGAAGGATTATGAATGAATCAGTGGTAGAGACCAGTAGTAGTGGTGTGCATTGAAGAGGATTAATGGAGGCATTTTAAAAAATAAAACAGTCTAGACTTGTTTCACCAGTGGGTCAGCCTTCTGAATATATTCCATAAATTTGCAATTCAAGTGTTCCTCTATTTTTTATTACTGACTTCCTGTTTTTATTAAGGTTTTAAGAGCAAACTTGGACTACTGTCAAGTGCATTAGCCCGACATCAGCCAAAATCTGCCACACATCATTTGACCAGATCTGTATTTGATTTTGTTTTTTCTTCTGGTCTTCAGTCTCATCCTGGTTGCCATGACCGAGGTGTGCAGGTCTTTTGAGGTCAGAGAGCAGGTGTCATTGCACTGAGGTCTGCTGTCCCAATGAGCAAAGCGGCCAACCCACAGAGACGCACCACCTACCTCATATCCCTCACTCTGGTGAAGGTTGAGGCTTTGCCAGAGGATGTAGCAGGAAGCCAGACGGAGGCTCTTCCAGAGGGGGAAGGGAGCCCTAAGAAGGAGGAAGAGGAGGAGAAGGAGGAGCTGAACATTACTCCTGACAGGGAGGAAGAACCTGTGTGTTTGGAAGTGGCAGAAAAAGAAAACACAGAAGTAAAAGAGGAAGTGGAACAGGTGCGGGTCAAGTATGGCAGCCCTAGTGAGAACAGAGGGAAGCCTGAGAGGAGGGATGGACACCAAAAAGACACTGTATCGGTTGGTAAGAGCAAAGACGCTTCTTTTGAACACCCACCTGTCAAGCAAATGGTTAAAGTATACGGAGGAACTACCACAGAGGGAACTGCGCGCAGAGAGGGACCTCGCTCAGATGCCTTGCGCCCTAAGACTGAGCTCTACCGGGAGCCCCCCATGCTCTTCTTAAAGGGTGAAAATGGAGCGGACTTGAGCGGTCGTTCACGTTGCAGCCTCCCCTTTTCTGTCCCATCACAGGTCAGCCCACGTCCTGAAGTCTTGATGAGATCCCACGCAGGAGGTAACTCTGCATGGAGGGAGTTCAGAGAGACCAACACAACAACCTTGTATCACTCTGCAAAGACTTTGGACAGAAGGGATAACCGCTTTGGGGACCAGTCCCCCTTAACAGCAGCTACAACCATGGGGCCTTATAGGGCGTCCTGGGCCGACAGCGATGGCAGGGGGGCGCTCATCCGTCCCGGAGCTCCCGTCAGTGGAGGATATTCAGGCATAATGACCCGGGACAGCCCTCAGGGGGAGAGATTTAAGACAGTTTCCGTTTCCTTATCCGCTACCGACATGTCCAGGGCTCAGAGAAAGCCCACAAGTCGTACCCTGGACAACAGCGACCTACATTGCCTCTCCGAGGACCTGAAGAAGGGAAAGGAGGGACAGGGAGGAACAATCCACCGTGCTCCTCCTCCTCCCCCTCGTGATCGTAAGATGCTCAAGTTCATTAGTGGGATTTTTACCAAAAGTGCAGGCGTGCCAGCCGGCGTCAACACTCCACCTCCGCTGTATCCACCTGTGGAGAGAGGTTCGAGTGAGGAGGAAGGTAAGGCAACCTCATGAATCTACTATCTCTTCATACAAATGCAAATGAAGGCTGTAAACCAGGGGTGTCAAACCTCAAATACACAATGGGCCAAAATTCAAAACTGAAACAAAGTCGCGGGCTAACGTTAATATATATTGAAATATATTTATTCCTCCAGATATAAGAATGAATCTTTTCTTATGGACTCAAACACGTTTGCTGAAAAACTGAATATGGAACAAGCAAAGCTTAATACTAAACAATATATATATTAGCTGTATAATACCAGTAGGCCAGCTCTAATAGTAATTTGGTATGGCTTCGCGGGCCAAATGTAATTAGTCTGCAGGCCAAATCTGGCCCGCGGGCCAGAGTTTGACACCTATGCTGTAAACAGTAGCACACCAGCACCCCTTTATTTGACAGTCTCACTCTTCTGGACTCTTTTGACAGACCCAGACCTAAATTAACACGTGCTTAAGAATCAGAGTTTGTTGTACATGGCGAACAATATGAATGAGATCTCTGGTGTAAAAGTGGCAACAACAAAAAAATCATTTCAGATATATTTTGTTTCACCCAACAGCAGTCCCTTGGGAGGAAAAAAATTAGCCAATTAAGATGATTAGTTTATTCTGTGTAATTAAGTAGGGTCCCGTATTTATTACCCATGTATATTGCCTTCTCTGGAGTTTGTGTGGAGCTAAACCCCTCAAAAAAACAAAACCGCCCCCTCTTAGTTATGCTCGAATGCGCTCGCTTATTTATTCACACGTTTAATTTATGTGAAGCACTTGGTGAAAGTTCCACGCAGACACAAGTATAGTGGAAAAAAATGCATTATCATTACTTTAGTTTGGCTTAACGATTTGTGTGAAACATCTTCTGTAATTGTTTCCTTTGCATGTTTCTCTGGGGAAATAGAAGACTTGTGTAAATAAAATAAAAAATAAAAAAAGCTAACATGAACATGTGGTACCTTTACAAGTGAGCTTTGTCACTATTGTTGTATTGCATGGTAGGTAACACCCGAAGGGCTAGAAATGTTCCAGTTACTTAAAGCTAATAGGTAACTTTTCCTATTTAGTGAGATCAGATGAAAGAATTCCACTTATTCGTGGGCTCTTGGTGTATTTGAGATTAGTTTTAGGGTGGAATAATAATAAATATGTAGTCATAAACATATGAGGTGATCATGGGAGATAAGATTAGAAATGAGTGCATCAGAGGGGCAGCTCAGGTTGAGCAGTTTGGAGACAAAGTTAGAGAGGAAGGCTGAGATGGTTTTGACATGTGCAGAGGAGGGATAGTGGATAGTGCACTGCACAAAGGATGTTGAATACGGAGCTGCTAGGAGCATGAGGAAAAGAATAAGATCACAGAGAAGATTCGTGGATGCAGTGAAGGGAGGACATGCATAGGGTTGGTGTGACAGAGGAGGATGCTAGGGGTACGGAGATGAAGCAGATTATTCGCTGTGGCGACCTCTAAAGGGAGTAGCTAGAAGAAGAAGAAGAAGAAGAAGAAGAAGAAGAAGAAGAAGAAGAAGAAGAAGAAGCAATCATAATAACATCTGAGGAAATAGCATACCTTTGAGAATTTATAAGAATTACAACGAAAAGCAAATAATGATGTTTTTGTATCTGGACATAGAAAATAAATACCTGAGTGTTTTTCTATGGATGAAGAGTATTTGTTTTTAAGGTTAAGTGGTATATGTCCTTTCAATATTCAATTACTCTTTCACGGCACAAGTGGGAAAAACACAGCTACAGTAATGAATTTGTGCTGCTAATAGAAAACTTGCTGTCCAAAAACTGGTAAAAATGAACAATTTTGATAGTTATTGCAACCATTTCACATTTTTATTCGCTGTTCTCTTTGTGTTTAGCGGTTTTGGACCTTAGAAGCAATTTAAATATATCACCTTGTTTTATTGACCAATCATCTATTTAAGATGGTAATAGATGATGAAAACAAGCTTGTTGGTAATCATTAGATTTGCAGTGTAAAAAGTAAATGTCAAGTTAATATCTTAGTTAAAAATAGAAGCTGGATCTGATGTAGGCCTGCAGGATATCTGATGGAGAGGTGATTAGAATATCAGGTCACTGTGAATTTATAAACCTATGGCAAGAGGGGGGAAATTACAGCAAACTTTCTTAGAGAAGGGGAAGAGATTCAAAGAGATTTTTAAAGTAAGAGTGTTTCAAATGTGTACAAGCTGTTCCTCTTTGGTAAAGCTGAGGCCATCACAGCAGTAAATAGCAAAGATGGGGTTTTTTCATGTGAAAATGCTGTCATGTGTCTTGAGTGCTTTGACTCTATGTTTGGGATATCAAACAAACAGAAATGTGTTCAGTGTTCATGATGCAACTCTATCAATTTTTCATTTTTTTTCTTTCTTTAAAAAAAATCTTTGACAGGATGTGTAGGATTTGGAGTAAGCCCTGAATAATTTGTCGGGAGTAAGTGGGACATGAATAATTAAGGTTTGGGATACACAGAGCTGTGTTCATCGGCGGAGCGAGGGGAGCGGGTCCCCGCCACTTCCTGCTCTGTGCGTGGAGTTAATCAGCCTTCAAATGCAGTCCATTCATCTGTCAGCGTTATGTTGTGTCATGATGAGTCTGTAATTGCAGCTTAAAATGTCAGCGTTCTGCTGGCGGACAAACTCGGTGATTTTGATGCAGAAAATATTGGCCAACACCGGCAGAATGTGAGATGCTTTCGTGTTTTCAGGTGGACATCACGTCTCCATGCCTCTCACACACGTCGCTGTATCCATGAGAGACCGTTTATCGTATAGAGACCCAGGCTTGGATGGAGGCTTCTGGAAAATGGAGTTGCCATGGCAACAGCAAGCCGCGAGAGGTGCTATTTGGTCTGTGGTGTGACGCTCTTGATGGAGGGGAGTGTGGGTGCAGGTGGGGGGGATTGCCCAAAGATGGGGACGAGGGAGAGTGGAGTCGGTTTAAAGTTAGTATCTGTGTCCCCGTGGAACCAGGACGACGCTGCAGCTCGCTCCACCCAGCTCAGCGTGACCTGCCAGCTTCAGAGAGTGCGCGCGCGTGTGTGCGTGTGCAAGAAATGTCTGTGTCATTGTCTCTGGTGAGACAGTTTCCTCATCACTGTACATCTGTAAGCACTATCGCATTGTTTTTGCCCCCGCTGATGGGGATTTGTGTTGTTCCTTCAGCTTCATATTTGTCCTCTGTGGCTCTGTCTGTCTGCCCCTCTTTTTCTCTCTTTTTCAATGTCCATTCACCGACATCTTTCTGTCAAAGATAAAACAAAGGAAAATTCAGCCATAAAACCAGATCCAGAGCCTGTTCGCTACAAAGATATGCTTTATTTATAATGCAGCGCATAAAGGCATTTAAAGGGTAAAAGAAAAGCTGGAGATAATAATAAAATTGTAAATGAATTAAAGTTTTTAAAAATCTCTTTGTTTTAAAGAATTCTTTTGGCTGCCAATTCCTCAGCCCATGGGGATATATATATATGTATATATGTATATGTGTGTATATAGATAGATAGATAGATAGATAGATAGATAGATAGATAGATAGATAGATAGATAGATAGATAGATAGATAGATAGATAGATAGATAGATAGATAGATAGATAGATAGATAGATAGATAGATCTCACTGGTATAAAGCCTGAAACTAGTTGAGGTTATTATATAATATTCCTGCTGAATCTTGCATTTCTTTCAAGACAAATGTTGCAGCTCAGATTAAGTGACTTGTGATTTATACTTCTGTAGAGTCTGGAAAAGAAATATATCCATGACCTCAGAATTAAATTAAAGGCTGAGCTACAGAGGAACAAGAATAAGAATACATTTTAACAGTTGCCTTGGTACTCTACCTCCCACACTAATACTGCTGTCTGTGCTGCTGGTAAAGAGTTTTTATCATGTAATTTGTCCACTCTACAAAATATTATTTCAGCCTGTGACTGTAGGTTACACTGAGTGATAGAATTACACAGTACAGGATTTGGTATTATGATGACAGTTAACCAATGTACTAGGTACATTTGGCCATACTCTCGCCATCATTTATCACCGTGACAGTTTTTAATAATTCTCAGTCATCATAGTTGACTGAGAATTAATGTTCATAATGTTCTGGTGATGTTCATATCGCTAAGAGGCAGTGACAGGAAAGCAACACAAACAGCTGTTTTTGCAGGGTCTAGTCATTCCACAAAGTGTGGTTAATGTAGCAAATATATTGTTAAAAATGCAATGAAAGAAGGTGTGTTGTGTATGAAAGTTTTTCACAGACAGTTCCTTCAGGAATGAAATATAGGATGGGAGGTAAATAGTGACTCAAATAGCCACTGTCATAACCGAGGTATGCAGAAGAGCATCTCAAATCTTGAAGCAGATGGGCTACAGCAGCAGAAGAACACACCTGGTGCCAATCCTGTCAGCTAAGAACAGGGAATTGAGATTATAATTCACAGTGGCTCATCAACATTTTGAACAAAAATAGATGCCTAGTAACTAAGTGAACACATTTTCTGTACAATAACAACGTTAACAGACGGAGGATTTAGTGCGCTCATCTCTAGAGTCCGACGTCTGCCGCAAGTTTAAAATGATGCTGATTATGAGTTAGCTATCATAAAGAGACATTTACTTTCTGTCTCCTCTCCTCCTCTAAACTGATTTCAACAAACTGTGTACACCCAGAGTCAGCCCTCAAGATTGTTTTCATACAAGGAAAATCTCCAGTGCAGTAAATCTGTGTGTTCCTTGAGTCCAGTGTTAGAGGATTACTCAACAAAACATTATTTCGCAGAATGCTGCATGAGCATACGTGTTTCTACAAATAATTCTGAAACACTGTGACTTATATTTGACTCAAATCTTAACCCACTTTAGGTTATTTGACTTTCTTATGCAAACGATCTTCCATCACAAGCCTTTTGAATCAGGTTTCATCTTCTCGATACCACAGAGCACCGAGTGGCATACTCGGTCTTGTTTCAGTTGACACTGACTTCTATAAAATTCATGAAATGAGGGGAACTGCACAGGGAATAAAATGAATTATCTCACTCCAGCTGGCTCATATCTCTTTTCTTTTTCTTCTTTTAGTCTTCGAGGGTGAATAAAAGAATTAATGGCTCGTTAAGGTTGGTTTTGCCAGTTAACCACAGTAAGAGGGAGAAAAGAAGGTGGTTTAACAATGTTAGGGTAAAGTAAAGATACCTGCCATGCTGGCTAACTCGTATAGACTTGCCCATTTGTACACTTGATTTAATTTTCTGGGTGCTCACAGTTGGGGGAGTGACAGCCTCTTTGAGCTCAGAGGGTGGATGGGGGCGCTTGAACATTAATGCTGCTCACTGTGTTGGATCCACAGATAGTTAGGCCAAACCTGGCCAGCAATCATACTACTGCTAAGTGTTTTTGGGACATTGTGTGTGTTTTAGAAACTCAAGGTTTATTATTATAGTTTTCTGCTTTATCCTGACTCTGAACTGAATCCAGTGACTGTTTTAGACCGTAACAATGCTGGAGACACTTAAAGTCATTTTTTTTTTTTTTTTTTTTATTTCAAATGAGGCTAACTAACTGTGGTTTTCACTCATCATCAAAAGCAACTTCATGGTTGCTAAGTCTGCTGTAAAATGTTACCAAGGGTTGAATTGTTGTGTTAAAGGGTTGAGTAGAGCTATTTTGCATAAAAATAGCAAGAATATGTTTAAATATAAATCTATATTTTAAGTCAAATTATTTATTTAGGGGGCAGTACAGTAATGCAGTGGTTAGCATCACCTCACAACAAGAAGGTCTTGGCTTTGAATCCATCGGCCAGCCGAGTGCTCCCTCTGCGTGGAGTCTAAATGTTTTCTCCGAAGACTCCGGCTTCCTCTCGCGATCCAGAATGTTAGGTTTACCAACGACTCTAAATTAGCCATGGGCGTGAATATGAGCGGTACTGGTTGCCTCCATGATCTCTCCATGATAACCGTGTGACATACTGCCAGCCTGTCCACGGTGTACCCTGCCTCTTGCCCGATGACAGCTAGGATAGGCTCCAGCCCCCATGCAACCCTGACTTGGGTAAGATAAAGGTCAGGGGTGGATGAATAATGTATTTATACTAAATCCTACCGAACTGACTCCAGATCAGCACATACACCCCTATAAAAACTATCAACTTAGAATATTGAGCCTGTTTTTAGGCTAGTTTTTATTAGTCACTGGGCTGCCTGCGTCTCACACAAACCCCTCAAAAATGAATGTGAGGAGCAATACCACCCAAAATAGCACATAGACTCAAAGCAGAGGAATACCCAAGTGCTTTATGTCCTATATCACGTTATATATATTTGTTTGTTTTTGTTCCTGTGTTTCAACTCAACTTTTCACCGATGAATCCCGTCTTCCTCTGTTTTTGCTCCGAACGTTTGCCCTCAGTTGTATGCACCAGCAGTCAAGAATGGACGATGAGCCAAACTGTGCAAGAGCTACATCTGGTAAGCAGGAGACTATAGTTTTTACAAATCAGTTTGTGGATTTAATATTGAATTTATCATTTCTCTCTCTGTCTCTGCTCTTCAGGGTGTTTTGGGTGGTCTGTGCAGTGGGAAGTCTGCTCTGGTCCACAGACATTTAACTGGAAGTTACCTCCCACTGGAGAACTCAGAAGGTTGGTTTAACATCTCCACCCATTAAGAGCAGAGCTTTGTGAATTCAGTTCAGATTGATTTGGTTTAACTTATATAGTTGACAACAACAGTCATCTCAACTCTAAAATGTAAGGTAAAGGCTGAACACTATTAAAGTCAGATCTCCGACAAGCGACACCTGAGTCTCCTCCAGCAGATGGATGCTGGCTGTTTCTGATTTAGATGATCCAGGATCATTCTTTTAATCACTTTAATCACAATTTTAGTGCTGTAAATATCAAATGAGTTATTATGTAAAAGCTTTAAAAACATTTGTTTGTTCCAATATTTGCCAGGACGCCAGTATATTAAGGATGTGCTAGTTGATGGTCAGAGCCATCTGCTGATAATCAGAGAAGAGACAGAACTCCCGGATCCTCAGGTGGGTGGAGAATCGAGCTGAACTTGTTTGAGGGCTTATTTTTAATAAGAGTAAGTATTTCTTCCCTCTTGTACTTTTTGACTGCTATTATTTTTCCCTTTTGTTAGTTTGCAAGTTGGGTGGACGCAGTAATCTTGGTCTTCAGTTTGGAAAATGAGGCCAGCTTCCAGGAAGTTTACAAAATCTATCACCAGCTTGCAATCCATCGGCCCGTAACTGAGATCGCTTTCATAGTCGTCGGCACTCAGGGTAAGATGCTCACGCTCAGCATCTGTGCTTCCTTTATAATGAACTCTCGTTGTAGTTGGGTGATTTTTGCTTATTCCAGATAAGATCAGCAGCACCAACCCCAGAGTGATAGATGATGCCAGGGCCAGACAGCTCTGCTCAGACGTGCGGCGCTGCACTTACTATGAAACCTGTGCGACGTACGGCCTCAATGTGAACAGAGTCTTCACGGATGGTATGTACGTCCGTCATATCCAGAACCATATGGTGTGTGGTGCTGTAGAGGATGGACAAATATGAATTTTATTGGGGACTAATGTTTCATTTTTTAATTTAACTTCTGGGTTTGTTTGTTTTTTGCCACAGCTGCTCAGAAGATCATGGCAGCTAAGAAACAAGCTGCCCTACTGGCTTCTTGTAAATCTCTTCCCAATTCTCCCAGCCACTCTGGAGGCTCCACCCCAGTCTCCGGTGTCTTTCCAGGACAGGTAAAACCAGCACCTTACCTGTTGTCCATAAGAAGCAGCTTTTGTTACTCTATTTTCTGTATTTCATTTTGCTGTCAGGCTATTTTTAAAGTGTGCATGCTGTTGTATCAGGCTTAGCTATTTGCTCCTTCTGCTCAATTATCACTTCATCTCCTCCGTCCTCCTCCTGTTCCTGTTTTTTTCCCTCTCTCTCCCTCTCTTTAGGCGAGTAACGGTGGGCAGAGCAGCGACTACTCGTCCTCACTTCCCTCCACTCCTGTGATCAGTCACAAAGAGATTGGCAGAACACTGAGAGGGGAGAAGCAGGACGGTACTACACCTGTCTTGGTCCGTAGCGTCCGAAGACGCACCACAAGATTTGCGGTAAACTTTACTCAGTGCAAGCTCCAATCATGCTTAGAGACCCTTTTGCATTTTTACTGTCAATCTTCTTTCCTCCACTTTTTTTCTTACTCCAAGCCAACCCTTCGGTAGGTTTCCATGTTTAGAAAATGAGCTGTAAACACTTGGCAGGACAAACCAAACCCAATGCAGGAACATACTTGTGGTCTTAAGTTATATAATACAGACAGCTAATACAGCGTGCTAAATTATCAGCTAACTGTAGGCACAAGCTGCGTCCAGTGATGCAAAATAATTCCAGTAAAATTGTTTTCCTCATCAAAGCTGAAGCACTGACTTCTTCGTTTTTCTGTTTGTGGAATTAAGAAATTCAGGTAACTATGCAGCAAATTATTACTTGACATCGGCTCGGTCACATTGGAAAAGCTTAGTGGTTCAAAATATAATTTTGATGATGCTGAAAGTTTGTTGCATGCTTTAGATAAGTACTGGGCAAAAGTCTTGAGCCATTCCTCATTTCCTTATATTTTGCTTCCAAGTACCGGTAGCCAGGATTTGTAGCAGTTGCTTTGAGTAATAGTTCTCCAGGGTTTCTGAAGTTTTTCTCAAGGGATTTTCAGAGAAATGTGTTTTTTGTTTGTTTTTTGACACTTTCTTAGTACATATTTTAAACTTATCTTTAGCCACTTTGTTACTAACAAGCTGTTTCAAAAAAGTAATGATCCCAAACACACAATGGATCACCATCATTCAGAGCCCGGACCTGAACATTATTAAAGTAGTGTGAGCTCAAACTGACAGACAATAAAACAAAAGGCAGCCAACATCCAACGGGGAGCTTTTAATGTCCGTCAAGAAGCCTGGAGAACTATTCCTGAAGACTACTTATAGAAATTAGAAGAAAACTTGCCTAAGAGAGTTTAAACTGTGCTAAAGAATACATATCATGCCATACCATATTTCCATTTATGTTTGTATATCACTGCATCTTTTTCTCATTTTCCACCCTTTATTTTGAAATATAGAGACATGAGGGATGGCTGAACACTTTTCCACATCATTGCAATAATATAGAGCAGAGTAATATAGAGATAGGTGGGGCTAACAGTCAAAGACAATACACTGGCAGAGACATGTTGTCATGTTCCTGGGTCTGTTGACCCAGCGTTTTAAGTTTTAGTTTATTTGGATGTTGTTTATGTTTAAGTTCATTAGATTAGCGAAGTTCATTTGGTTATTAGACTCCTTGTGTTTTCTTCCCCTGTATTTAAGTTTCCCTCACCCTTTGTGTTTCATGCTGCGTGTCTTATGTTATCAAGTTTGTATTATCATGTCTGTCTCATGTTTCCTGTTTTATTTTGAAGGAGTCGTGTGTTCTTTGTTCATTGTATGTTTCAATATATGTTTCACTTCCCCTGTCCTGTCATTAGGCTCATGTCAGTCAGCTGTTCCTCCATGTGTTCACACTTCCCCTAATCACCTCCTGTGTATTTAAGTCCTCTGTTTTCAGTGTCTCATTGTCAGGTCGTCTGTTGTCCACGCCATGCTTCCCATCCCATCCCATGCCATGCCATGCCATGCCATGCCATGCCATGCCATGCCATGCCATGCCATGCTTCCAAGTTTCATGTCTAGGTTTTTCTTGTTGTTTGTTTAGTTCTCCCAGTTTAGGTTAATGTTAGTTTTACTTTAGTTTGCCTTGCCCTTTGTTTGTACCTTTTTTACCAGCCATATTAAATGACTTGCTTTTTGTTAACATTCAAGTTTTGTTCCCTGTTCCTTGGAGTCTGCATTTTGGGTCCACTCTTCACAATATATACAGTCTGCCTCCACCAGACTCTGACACATGTACTGTAATATCCATTACAAACATTGCATATTTGTAATGTCTATTATGTCTATAATGTAATTATAATATTATATTCACTTGGGCTTTTGTTGAATGCTGTGAAAATTCAGCCTTATGGGAAAAACAATCTGAAATGTCATTAAAAACCTGCATTAACAAATATTTGCATCACCTTGGAGACCTACTCATCTGGCTGACTCAACATTTGAATCTAATAATTAATGCTTATGTTTAATCACATGGATCATACTGGCTTTTAAGCTGCTAAATGCACCACATATATAGAAATCCTTCACTCATTTTGTCAGTGTTTTTTTACACTGGGCAGGCAGTTTATTCAGAGGATTATCAGAACAGCAGCCTCCTGTGTCTGGGGCTGAAGTTGATTATAGTGAACCAGAAGAGTAAAGCTGTGGGTCAGAAAAGCTAAACAGTGGTCTTACAGACGCCATACAGATGAGGAAAACTACAGAATTAGGGTGGTAATTCTCTCTGCGTTTATTGCTATAAGTGACCAGAGCTGTAAGCATTTGATTAGACACTTGCATAAAAATACAGATTAATGCAGCTTCATGTAAAGCTACAGACAATTATTCTGAACCAGTTGCTATAAATACACACTTATAAGCCAGCTTTTACAGCCAGCAGAAACTTTCCAGCAGAAGCTCTGGGAAATATAAATTAAAATCAGCAGTAAGCTGCCCATTCCTGCCTGATGCAGTTATTGTCCATCCTTCCCTTCCTTTAGGGCCGGAGAGGCAGCGACTCAAACAGAAGGAGCGCAGACTTTAAGGGCGATCTGGGCAGCGGGCGCTCCATTCCCATCAAACAGGTAGGGCACCGATTTGCACTTGATACAGAAACAAATATGATGTATCAGATGACCCTCAGCAGAGGACATCTCACCAGCAGTCACTTCAGACGTGTGAAGCCAATTTCATCGTGTGGCGTGATGAAGTGCTGTGAGCTCCCATTCTGCCCTGATGAATAGTTAGTGGGTGTTTTTGGCAGCCAGCTTTCATTATGCTGCCGTAATATGTGAAATGAACACTTGAGACATTAGCAATAAATTGACAGTCTTCTGTGTTGTCGCCTCTGTAAGGGCATCTTGCTGAAGCGCAGTGGGAACTCGCTCAACAAAGAGTGGAAGAAGAAGTATGTGACATTGTCCAATGATGGCATACTGTCCTATCACTCCAGTGTCAATGTGAGTCGGCGTGTTAACAGAGCGCTCCAGAGCATTATGCTGCTGAAAGCACGACTGATGTTTGATGGTAATGGCTGATGTCTGGTTTGGCAGGACTACATGCTGAATGCCCCCGGGAAAGAGATGGACCTGCTGCGAGTGACAGTGAAGGTGCCGGGAAAGCGGCCGCCTCGCGCCATCCCTGCCTGCGCCCCCCCAGCTGGGCTTAACGGACGGGTCAAAGACGTTCAAGGAGCTGAGGGTAAAGATGTTCTCTATGGTACACAAAAGAGGGAAAAATCTTTAGACGTCTCACAATAGCTAAACCTTATATACCGTATATTTAAATAAACCTCGTGTAAATTAATTATGTCATCTAAAGTTACTGTGATATTGAACAGATTTTGGTCTGGCTAATCTAAGAAGCTCAAGATTTTAAATCTCCATGCTGGTACTTTTCTCTGTGGAGCTGATAAGATGAAATATTTTACCTGATGACCTTTTTCTATTAGAGACAGTGATAAAAAAAAAAATGTAGATATGTAGAAAAGAAGGCTGCAGAACTGCTTTGTACGTATTGTTCTTGGTATTTTAAGACGGTTGTAAATGGAGGGGTCAAGCATTTGTGCAAACGGGGGGAAATTGCAGCAGGCTGTGAAACCTCTGCAAGACTACAAAACAGCATCATAAGGAATTTTGCAAGTGCTTTAAGAGTGTGTGGGGAAACTAAATCAGTAATGCATGCAAGTGTCAGAAAGCGTCACTGTTTGTTTTCACATTTAGTGTTTGACTAAATTGCTTTATTATTAAGTATGTGGTTGTTTATATGGTTGCTACTCTTCCTGTAGTCCCAATGAGTGCAAGCAGTCTCCTGCAAGTTGAGGAGATGGAGGGGCTGGGTGGTGCCCTGTTCCTGAGGGGTAACAGAGGTGTGCAGCGATGTCCTTCCACACTATCTAACCACGCTCAAAGCATTGGTGAGTATGGGACTAAAAACATGTAAGACAGTGAAATTTCTGAAATGTAACCAAAACAAAATGTTATTAAAAATGTTTCAAAACTACGAAGACAGCGTGGCTGTGATCTTTGAGCCCTCACTGCATGGGTTCAGCAACACTTCACAGCACACTGTCATTAACGTCGCCTCCACAAATGCAAGAAAAATCTTTACTTTGCAGAGAAAGAAAAACATTCTTTAAAAAAATTAGGAAGGCTGTCACCTTTTCAGGCCACAAGCTCATTTAGGCTAGACTGAGAAAAAGTAGGAAACTATTCTGTGGACCATCCAGTCACAATTTGAAATTATTTTTGGGTGGCATGGTTACTGCATCCTCCCAGCTACAGAGAAGAGGGACCATCCAGCTTGGTATCAGCATACAGTCCAGAAGCCAGCATCCATAAAGGCGTGGCACGATATTTGTGCATTTGGCCTGAAAGACGTACAAAGGGTTTGTTCCCATGCAGATGATGTCATTTTCGGGAAATGTCTTGCTTTTTTTTTCAGCATGACAAAACATTCCTCACCATCTGCAGCTGTGTGGCTCCACAGCAAAAGAGCTCAGGTGCCGCCTGCAGTATTGAAAGCGAATTTAACAATATGAAAAGAAAAACATGACAAATGAGGCCCTGAAATATTGAGCAGCTGAAATAGTATTTTGAGCTAGGATGGGAAAATATCTCTCTTTTAAAACAACAACAACATTTGTTTCACTTAGTTCTCATAAGCCCAGAGTTGATGCAACACAGTGGTAAACATGTCCCTGCACCAACCTTTTAAAAAGGTGTTGCTGATATCAAATTTAAAACGAGCACCTATTAAAAAAAACAACATAGAAAAACCTTAAAATCTCTCAGTTTCAGCATTTGATTTTTTTTTTTTTTTTACTATTTCCACCAATTTGTGAATGATTGCATTCTGTGTATAAGTCATACAGTGTCCTGCTTTTTCGGAAACAGGGTTGTAGTAATTTTACGTTTGTTATCCTGTCTGCTCGTTACAAGACTCTGCAGTTGAGGGCATCTCGAGCTCTTCCTCTACCAAAGACGTAGGTTCTGCCTCCCCTGTCACGGACAGAAAAAAGCATCGCAGAAAGAAGAGCATGAATCAGAAAGGAGATGCCACCGCCGGCCAAGCAGATGGTAAATGATTACAAGCTTCAAATATGTTTTCATAGGCACCGATCGGGATGTTTCTAATGATATTTGTAGCTTTACTACACATGACGAAGACTTTGTGTTTTTCGCTGATATTTTCTCTCTTCTCTTATGCAGCTAAGCGCAAAATGTGGAAACTCAAAAGCTTTGGTAGCTTAAGAAACGTAAGCAAGACAGGTAATATAAATCAGCTGCGCTGCCTCCACACATGCCAGGCTATCACATTAAGAGTCAAGCTTCTAATTTAAAATATTGACAATTAATCAATTAAATCCTGCAGATCAGCAGCATAAAACTAAACCTTGCTTATGCACAACTGTGATCCTGAAGTGATGTTAATAACCTGCTGCTCAAATTTCTGCATCCAGAAATCATTAAAAAAAAAAAATCTGAGCTCTGTGTTATTGTCTTTCTTGTCTCAGACGAGGATAACTTTGACTTCCTCGTTGTGTCGAGCACTGGTCAGACGTGGCATTTTGAAGCACAAAGTGTGGAAGAGAGGGACTCCTGGGTCCAAGCCATCGAGAACCAGATCCTGGCCAGCCTGCAGCTGTGTGAAAGCAGCAAAAACAAGGCAAGAAACGACAGGAAAACATTCACTCTCTGACACACAGCAATCTAGTTTTTCATTCATTCATTTTATTGCCAGTGACAAATGGTAAATATTACAGACTTCCTGCAGATAAAAAGCTCCTTGAGAAAAAACAAGAACAGTGATTTTTTTTTTAAAGATCCACCCTAAGTTGTTGTTTTTTTTCTTTCTGTTACTGTCAGTACAATGACTGCGGTCATTCATCACTTTTTTCTTTGCAGAAATAGATTTAAACAGGAGAGTTCATACAAGTTCATTTATTCTGGTTACTGTTTGCCTCTCACAGGCTCGAAGGAACAGCCAGAGTGATGCAGTGGCTCTGCAGGCGATACGCAATGCAAAGGGCAACAACTTCTGTGTGGACTGTGACGCTCCCAGTAAGTCATGCTTGCCTATTTCATCCCTAATTTGACTGCTCTGTTTGCTTTCACGTTTGGAAGTTTTAATCAGAGCCGAGACCTCTTTTGTTGTTGGTGTAAGAAGCTGCATAGAGCGAGGAGAAAATAATTTGCTGCGGACTTGAACTTCTTTGTGTTCGGACTCTAGAACAAATGTGGACAATCACCGTGGAAAATGGGTATGACCCTCCTCCATCTGACAGTCTGAAAATAGCTTTCCGTGCCTTAGAGCGTTCAAAGCGGGGTACTTTTAACTTTTAAATTGGTATTTAGCATATTTGAAAACAGTCATTCATCCGCATGCTATGAGATAAGACAATGGAGTGTGAATGCAAATATTTTTACTGTATGTGCCTTTGTGTGGTATTTTTCACATCCCACCTGTACCACATTTTTCATATGATCTCTGTATTGTTTGAGGGCCAGATAAAGAATTTTGATGACTTATCAGATCTAAATTAAATTTAATGCTGAGGGTTTTTTTATGCTGATTTCTCAGACTCTTCTGTTGTGCACCATGGCCGATCGGGCGCATTTTAGTGGCACGCAGCCAAATGAAATTGGTAGACTGTCAGTTTCAAATGAAGTTAATTTGTTGTGTGCACGCTCCCTCTTCAAGATCCGACCTGGGCCAGTCTGAATCTGGGCGCTCTCATATGCATTGAGTGTTCCGGCATCCACAGAAACCTGGGGACTCACCTGTCACGGGTTCGCTCTCTGGCGCTGGATGATTTGCCACGAGAGCTGACGCTGGTTCTCAGTGCTATCGGCAACCACATGGTCAACAGTATATGGGAGGCACGCACAATGGGCCACCGTAAACCAGCACCCGATGCTACACGGTAAGGACAAATCATCTTTATATATATATATATATATATATATATATATATATATATATACACAAGTTTTCTTTTTTTACAGTATGGACACATGAGCTGTGCAGCTCTTTCTCTGAGTCCACTGGAAAGTCCAGTGCTGTCATCTGTCAGCTGTAAATGCTGATGACTCACTTGTTTCTCTGTCCTTGTCTAGAGAGGAGCGGGAATCGTGGATAAGAGCCAAATACGAGCAGAAACTGTTTGTGGCGCCGTTGCCTCCTCCTACGAGCGAGGGCCCAGACATCACTCTATCTGGCCGTCTTCTGTTGGCAGTGATGGAGCACAATCTCCCCAAGCTGCTGCTACTTTTGGCCCACTGCACTAAGGAGGACATTAATGCCCCTCTCAGCCTGGCACGCTCCTCCCGGTCGCTCTTAGCTCTGCGGCTGCCCGCTTCCCCCCTGCACGCTGCCTGTCAGCAGGCTGATGTGGTGATGACGCAGCTTCTAATTTGGGTTTGTTTCCCTTTGTCTCTCTTTTTTTTAATCTTACACTGGTCCAGCTACGAAGCAGGTATTCTCAAAAATATATAGGGATGTTGCTGCAGTGGAGGTACTTGGTTAGGTAATGATTATAAATTTCTTCATCACAGCAAACCATTTTGTAGAGCTGTGCAAAAATGGTAAAATTACCTCCTCTGAGTCGTTCACTCAGCAAAGAACAAAAGTGGTCTAAATAGATGACTCAGCAGACAACTGAAGGTGATCTAAATGTCTGAAAGGTACAAAAGCTCTCTTAATCGCACCTTTCTGACATCATTTAGGGCAATCCTGTTCAGGCTTAACTTTTTTCCTACACATTCTAAAACTTCCTTGAAGTGTGGAGGATGGGATTATTACATAATCTAATCCACTTTGCTTTCTTCTCTTTTCCCGCCTGCAGTATGGCTGCGATGTTCGGTATCGGGATGCTCAAGGCCAGACAGCGTTGGCTCTGGCTCACAGCGCTGGCAGCCAAGAGTGTGTCGACATCTTGCTCCAGCACGGATGCCCGAACGAGCCGCCCCCATCCGTCGCCGCGACAGTCGGTTTCGCAGCGGCAGCCACATCCAGCTTCCCTGTTGCCATGACACCAAGCCTGACGGTTGCCACGACACTCAAGATCTCGCACAAGAGCGGCGGCACAAGCTTGAGTTACAGCACCTCCAGAAGAGCAGTGTCATAACCGAAATGTGGTGTGGCATAAAGCCTGTGCGTCAGAGTGTGTTAGAGTATATGTTTGTGTGTGTGAGTTTGTCACTTTACCCTCATAGTGTCATTGCGCGTCCACACAGGCCAGCGGGACTGATGGACATGTTGCCAGATGTTGCACTCGTAGAGCCAGATGAGGTTCTAAAAGGTGTCTGTGTGTGTATCAGGAGTGTAAACTGTGAATCACACAGCCACATGCAATCTGCTTGAACGATTTAACCAAAAAAAAAAAGGCAAAGTCTTCTCATTACGCTTTACAAGTGACGGTAAGGTAAAAGGAATACGACATCCTCTGCCTCTGCATTCAGGTTTAAAGGAATGTATTTATCCTGTATGGAGGACTGAAAGTGCCAAAATAAAAATAAGCGCATAAATGACAAAATGTATATAGATGAAATACAATTAAAATTATATTAAAATTAATATAAGCAAAGGTTAATTTATAAAATGTGACAGGCTGATATAGCATCTTCAGTTCTTCAATGATCTCCCTAGGCAGTTTTTTCTGTTGTCAGACTGGCATTTATTAACCAATTGACAAAAAGCTGATCCCACTTTAACTGAGGCAATTGTAGAAATAAATACAAAATAAGGGAAATATACAGAAATAAATAGAAGGGGGATTAGGTTGCAAAGGGAAAAAATGTAAAATAAATAAAATTTAAATTTATTTATTTAAATGTATTCTTACTTTTTTTTATTTTGGCACTTATAGTCCTCCATAGTTATATCAGATTGTATGATTCACGTTTCAGAATGCAGTCAGTGTTCAACTTTATTCTCCACTCCATTAAAAATGGCCTCAAAGAAGCTTATCAGAGTATCTCCAGGCCAGACGTAAAGAGCTGCAATAAATTTTAAGATTTGAGGGGCATCTTGAATTTCTAGCATTAAAGATCGCAACAGTTTTTCATTTGGACTGTGAATGTGTGTTTATGCTTAACACAGCTGCTAATTCAGCTCATAAACGATGTGTAAGCCGACATGAAAAAGGGAGGGCTGTTTTAGAGATAAACAGAGTACGTGTATAGAAAAGCATTGATAAAATACTATGATTCTAAAAAAAAAAAAAAAACCCTAATTTTCCAGAGTGTTATTGTATGATTTGTACAGTTGGTTATGTGTATAAAAATCCAAGGGTTACTCTGTTCAGAGATTTACTGTACAGCGCCCCGGCCCAGTTATTCTTTGATAACCGCCTGATTAACTCTTTGACATCCAAAACGGGAGGTTTTTATGTTACATTTGTATCGGTGTGTCTGACATAAATAATGTATAGGATGTATGCATTATGACTCCAGCAGTAGCTCATTATCAAGGCGAGTGTAAAACTAGATGTGCAAATGAACAAGTGAAATGCCTTGATTTTGGTCGAATGTAGAGAAAAAAAACAGATAAGTTAACTGTTTTAAAATACTAACATGTTTTTCCAGATAATGCAGTTTTTGGTGGACTGTCAGGGTGTTTTGTTTTTTATTCCTGCTGTGTCTAATAGAAAGGGAAAGTAGGGTTTGCCAGATGCAGATGTAGGCTCTCATCTACAAAACCTGGATTTTGAACGATTCGATATTTGTAAACATGCACCAGAGGAATGTTCCCCGATTTAATAGCTTTTTTTAACGGCATAAAAACATCTCTCCTGCGGTACTGTACGTATAAACTTGTGTTTATCTGAAGGCTCAGCTGACTATACATGTCTGTGATTTAAACATCTTCTTCCATTTGTATTCCATTTGTATTTTTTTACTCATGCAATGATTCACAGAGTATTCATTATTAATACACTAAGGCTACTGCCCAAGCTGTGGTGTTTTTGCTTAGAGTTGTGTGTGTGTGTGTGTGTGTGTGTGTGCATGTGTGCGTGTGCGTGTGTGTTCAGATTTGGGTTATTTATTGACTTATTTTGTCCCCTTATTAATAAACAGTATAATTTACACCTTGGAGTTTAGTAGCATTATAAACACTACTAAAATGTTGGGTTGCTTACAAATGTTTTAGTTTTTCGAAAAAAAAGACTTGTTTTTATCGAACAAAAACGTTAAACATATTAGAATTACACTGTAAATGAAAGTAAATAATCATATAAGCCCGAAAACACTTCTACATAGAGTCAGTGTCACTGTGGCCCTAATGCAGGTTTAGAAGATATAAATTTGGCTAGTCGAAAATCTGAGAATGGCCAAGGAAACGATAAAGATGGATAAGGAAAAGACACTGAGTAAAGGAATCTATGGCTTTTTCTTGTCAACTCTGCCCAGAAGGACAGCATTCTGGAGTCCCCCGCTATACTGCCGACACTGAGACTAATGCATGTAGGTACCATATAATGAAGCTGCCGGTTGAGGACCTTTGAGGCATCTGTTTTTCAGACTAGACTCTGATGTACTTCTCCTCTTGCTCAGCTGTGCTCCGGGACCTCCCACTTCTCTTTCTGTTCTTTGTTAGAGCCAGTTTTGCTGCTCTGTGAGGGGAGACGTGCATGCTGTTGAAGTCTTTAAGTTTTCCTTGGCAGTTTCCCACATGGAATAGCCTTCACTTCTTAGAACAAGAACACTCTAACGAGCTTCAGAGGAAAGTTTTTTATTTTTAAATGGGGCAATTTGAAACTATCATTGAACCCACAAGGCTGATGCTCCAGACACAGAACTAACCAATTCTCTACTAATCAGAAGAGTGCCAACCTAACTGTAAAAAGGTCTTGGTAATGATCAGTCAGCTTTACAATAAGTGACACAGCGTATCAACGGAGGACTAAAAGTAGCTGAAAATTAACCTCTGGAGCTATTCTAGTAAATATAATTAGTGATTGCGATGATTAATGATACTACATGCCATTATCTAAAATTTCGAAACAATTAAAAAGTTATTTTATGAGAATACAACGGTACACTACAGGGCCTCCTACACATTACACCTACAGGACCTGCTCAGCCATGGAAAACCATGCTATGAAGCTCCCAGTGCACAGTTTTTGTGCTGATGTTAATACCAGAGGAGGTTTGGAGCTCTGCAGTAACTGAGTTAACAGAGCTTTGATAGCACTGTGTGCCTCAGCACTCAGCAACCCAGATGTGGAACTTTATGTGATCCGGCATTTTGCTGTACCAAACATCCACTTTGCATTAATATCATTTACATTTGATGGTGGAATTTCACAACTCATTGTTGCAACGGCGGAAACCTATTACAGTACCACTCTCTTCAGAGCAACCCACTGTTTCAAAAATATTTGTAAAGGCAGGCTGCATGGCTACACCAATTTGCATTTAATCACTAATTATTATGAAGTTATTATTAAGCTCTCACAGAGTGTCTTTTGTCCTGTCTCCCTCCCCGGCCCCTCTGAGCATGGCTCTGCCAGAGGTTTCTTCCTGTTAAAAGGGAGTTTTTCATGTGATTTTTAGGGTTTTCTCTCTATTATTATATTAACTTTCAATATAAAGCACCTTGAGGAAACTGTTATTGTGATTTGGTGCCATATAAATAAAACTGAATTGAACTGGATCCTCTGTGTTTCTGTTTATACACCTGTGACGAGGAGACTGAAATCACATGAATTCAAAGATTAAGAAATGTGGCCCAACACTTTTGTCCATATCGTGTATCATCGTTAAAAACAGGGACATTTGTCAGCGACTACAAACTTTTGTAGTACATGGTCAGACACAAGGTTCCTGTTTTCAAACAAGCTGAGAGCCTTTTTTTCCTGACAGCCGGAGTCTTTTGGCATTCAGCAGAATCATTCAACACGCAACTACCATAAGATCTTATGGCGCAACAAAGTCCTCGTTAAAGGCCTCTACTGAGTCTGCCCTACTTCTTTGTAGGTCATGGGCTTATTTATATATCCATCTCTGATTCAGTTTCTTGGATGCATGATATACCAAATCCCATTTTTTTCCCAGAAAACATTTGGAGACAAAAATAAAAATGACCACTATGAGACTTCTCTATAAGTTAGGGTCTCTCTAAAAAAGATAAGAGAGATCTGTGTAGCACGCTATCAAGATCTCCTGGTTTATAGATTCAAGAGTAGATATGCACAGTCTTTAGCACAGGTATAATTAATATATGTTCACATGACAATGAAATCATAACAGATGGACCCAGACTTAAGCTCTGGAACATAGTACATGTAAACAAACCTATAGTGTGTTTTGCAAATGCTGAAAGAAAAATATCCAAAAAGTAAGTAGCATAAAATAATTAATATACTTCTTTTTGTTTTAGGTTAAAAGACAAAAATAAAAAAATAAATTTAAAAAAACATTTAATGTCTTTTCCTCTTATTTCTCATCTTTCTGTCCCTCCTGTTTGTCCACACAGCTGCTATTCCAAAGTGAAACCCTGCTGAAGGATTTTCAGGAATGTGTGCCAGGAGGACTGGGACAACTAAATAAAGACAAAAATTAATGCTGTACCACTGAGAATACAATTTAAAGGAACACATGTACAGCTAGGATCACATCAGTTTGCTTCAGCTTGCAGTAACTAATGACACTTAGATCCATCCTAAGTGGTTCCTACTTTACTCAACAGGATGTTGGCAAAGAAAAATGTAACAATATAAGAAGCAGTTAGGCCATTAAAGAACTTTGGTACAGTTGGTACATATGGCACACCTTGAACTTACCATGGTTACTATAGCCCAGACGTTAAACTAAGGTGACTGTTGGTTGTTGGTGCCAGTGGGCTGGACTCAATATTATTACACAACCTCTAAGCTATGCAGACGAGCATCTCCAACAACACTTCAAACCTTGACGCAGATGGGCTTCAGCAGCAGAAAACTCCACCCGGTGCCACTCCTGTCAGCTAAGAATGGGAAACTGAGATTACAAAAAGCAAAATCACCAAAATTAGACAATAGCAGATTGGAAAAAGTGTTGCCTGGTCCGATGGGATGGTAGGATCAAAATGTTGCGTAAACAGCATGAAAGCATGGATCCATCCTCCCTTGTGTTAACAGTTCAGCCTGATGATGGTGGTGTAATGGTTGGAGATCTTTTCTTGGCGCACTTTGGTTCCCTTAGCCCCAACTGAGCATCATTTTAATGCCACAGTCTGAGTCCTGTTACTATGTCCATCCCTTTATGACCACAGTGTACCCACCTTCTCATGGTTGCTTCAGCAGGATAACGCACCATGTCACAAAGTTCAAATCATCTCAGGCTGTTTTTTTGAACATGACTGCATTCAAATGCCCTCCACACTCACCAGATTGGGTATGGTAGAACAGAAGATTCAAATCATGGATGTTCTGAGTGATGCTATCACGTCAACATTGACCAAAATCTTTGTTTTCTTTGTTGAATCTACACCATGAAGAGTTAAGGCAGTCCAAGCGAATACAAGCAAGATGTACCTAATAATGTGGCTGGTGTAAAGCTTATTTTATCATCTTTGGCCAGTAAAACAAATACCTTCATATTAGTGATGTTTACAGGTGTAAACTTGAAAGATGTCTTTCAGGAATCTTTTATTTCTTGCTGTCACTTAGACTCAACAGTAGTGTTGCCAAACCTTTACGTCAAAAGAAAAGAAACCCATTAACAACATTGAGCTGCCAAGAAGTCCTTTTCGCAAATTCTTCACTTGGAATAAATGCACAGCTTGTCTCGAAGTGTAGAATCCCATGAATAGTAAAGATGTTTTTTAAAAAGGAAGGGAAACAAAAGGATGCTATTAAATTATTAGTGCTTTATTGGTGATGCTTTGATGACTGCAAAGCTGAATTCTTCATGTATTAAATGAATCCCTGAACTAGGCAAAGATTTTGGCGATGAACTCTTTGAAGCGTTTAGCGTACTGCTCTGGATGAACAGTTGAGATCTCAGCTCCTGCCTACAAAACACAGACACACAGTCGATCAGAAATAAGTAGAAGCAGCCCTTTACACTTTGCAGAGCACTGATCTCTCACCCCGTGTTTGACAGCCTTGGCAGCGTGAGCGGCTTTCTTCTTGGTGTCGTACTGCGTCAGCACATCAATCAGACCCATAAAATACACCTCCCTACGGGGCGCACCTACAAGGGAGCGATTCACAGTGTTTGGCGAGCGATATTGATCAGCACAGTGTGAGAGGAAGTTTCGGTGGGTGAAAAAGCGCAGGGCTCCTATCTCGGCTGTCGGGACTCACCCACAGCGCTCTGAATAGCGTACACATCCACATAAGGGTCGAAATCCCCGGGACCCATGGGTTTGAAGGAGTTCATGTAGCCGGTAATGCCTTCAGGGGAGGTGGAGTGGGGAGCAGGAGCAAGGCCATTTTCATCATCCTCTTCCTCCTCATCGGACAGCTCCATCTCCTCCTCCTCCTCCTCCATCTCGGCTCTTTCGACATCGTGGATACCGAGCAGCAGGCTGTAGTCCATGATCCTCATACGTACAAGAAACTGCAGTGAGAGAAATAATTACACACCAGAGACAAGAAACACAAAAATCCCCCACAAAAAGCAACGCCTCTCTTACCTCAGTGTCTCTGTTGAGCTTGTCCATTATTTTCTCCTTCTCTTCATCACTCACATAAACTTTCTGCATGTTATTCATAAAGTCCACATCCTTATAAGTGGGCAATTCCTTGACCTGAAAATATAGAAAGAATTACAACATTCATTCAACAGCATTTTTCTTTTCATCAAAACATTTATAGCTTCTCCATTTTCATATGATTAAAGCCAAATAACATTTTCATAATTTTGTTTTCTGAATCAGTACAGATGGAAATATCAAAGGTTCCCGCAGCTCTGCAGCTAGTCAAACTTCCTCTATTAAACCAGATATTTCTTCATCTTTTTCTTTTTTATCTAGGTCAGCGTCGCTGGAGGCCAAACAGAGGGCTTCTGATGTTTAAAACAGC